CGCAGGCCACCCATGCTAATCACTGGTGAGTGGTGAGGCATATAACCATAATTTTTATATTACCATTAGATCAATGAGCTGAATGAAATAAAATCTTTGAGAATTTTCTTTAACAAAGCAAACAACACCTGTACAAAACTTCTCCCAATTGTTTGGATTTGGATGAGCATGATACATCTGAGCTACAGCAGTAGCTCTTATCTGAGGGGGAAAAGAAATATATCATAGAGGAATGGGCAAAAAGGAGGGAATGAGGAAATAATTATTATAAAAAGGAGAAAAGGAAATCAAAATAAGAGATAGGTCAAAGACAAGGAAAGCAACATGAGATATAGAAAGAAAACAAGACTAAGAAGTCAGAAGAAGAAAGAGGACTGAGAAAGGGGGAGCTTTCAAAGCTTGTTTACCTCTTTCCTTGCCCCTACGATGGTAAAAATGTCCTGATTCTCCTCATTACTGAGAAGAATCGACCTGTAAGACATCTTAACGGTACGGGGGAGCAAGTCCTGATTCGCTCGGGTTTCCCCCAATTCTAAAATAATTTATTATGTATGAGTCATGCAGACACAATTCCTGTCATGTTATTTAGTCTAATATCTATGGTCATATGGGAGCTTTATTATTGCACTTGAGATGATCATTTCAATTTGTAAATTATACAAAATATAAAAGTTTACAGTAGATAGACTACTATTGAAATGTAATAAGATAAGCCGGATAACATTTGTCATGATCATATACAATATAAATTTGAGATGAACCAGTCACACCATTTACACTGTCATAATCTCCACTGCCATCCTCTTTTCTTGGTGGAGTGACTAACAAGCGATTACTTTGCATTGCTATACTGTCACCAGTTAAAACAAAGGCTAAGAATATCTGTCGACCTTCAGGAGAATTAAAAGCATAAGAACCCCCAGAGTACTTAGCATTAACTGCAAAATATGCTCCTCTCCCCCACATGCCTTGGGCACCATGACGAAAATCAAAGCCATGCTCTGATTTGTATATAGTTTCTGGAGGAACACTGCGACTTCCATGAAATAACCATTTCTCATTTACTCGTCCATTATTCTTCTCATGCATCCTTTTCTTGCACAGGTCATACTTGGTGTATAAAAACTTGTTCTGGATCCTCTCAATTTTTGAAATATTTGAGTTCATTGTTTTCTTGAAAGCTTTCACTACCTTTGCCCCCTCAGAAGAACTAACTGGAACAGACTTCAGTTCAATATTTTCAGTCTGTGGCTCCCACTCTGGAGGAAAAGTTAAAAGTGAAGTAGATTCAAGGCTCATTTGTTTCTGTTTTAAAACAAGAAATACTTTAGCCAAATAATCACTACCACCAGATATTACAATGCTATCAAGTGATGAATCTACTTTCACACAAAATGATCTTGCTAATTTAATAATAGGCTCCACAATATCTGTACTGCAGCCTCCAAATGTTTTCTTGATAATCATCCCTTCTAATTTTTCATGTAAACTAGCTATAGAAGTGTGAACACTATCTTTTAAACCACAACAGGATAGGCAGAGGGAAAACGAGTCTAGAGCTGGTATACGTTTGATTTTACGCTTTTTCTGTGTTTTGGTGTTTATCTGAACCATACTGTCAAAATCATAACTGTATTTCCATTTTCCAATTTTTCTAGAATATGGCAATTTACGCCTGGCATGACTTGTTGGTCGATGAAGAAACTGCTGATAGAGTTTTTCAATTTCAGCAGAATTAGTAGGACTCAGAGCTTTGAACTGCTGATTATCACCACAAAACTTCCAAGAGATGCCACTAGCACCAGAGCTTGATAAATAATCAAAAATACTCTCAATAGTCAATGGGTGAGAACCAGACATCATACTAGCTATGGTACTGGAGAAAGTAGCAATAGGTATGGTTGAACCATTAGGGAGCTTTACATTGAACTGCACACCATACTGCTGCTCTACATTTCTAAATACTTGAGGATCTTTTAATAATGGTAAGAACTGACAATGAAGAACCTTAAATAAATGAAAGGAAATCATAAATTATTCATTTAACCATTCATAACTCACAAATGTTAATGTTATACCAGCTCCAGTACTAGAGAGGAGGTTCTCACGTGTATTATAAATACAAATATCTGTAATGTACAATATGAGGGAGGAGAGGATCACTAAAAATATAAACATGAGGGAGAGATAGCGGAGAAGCACTCCACCCACCAACATGTGGAGGAAGTAAGAGACCATTCCACTGACAAAGAGGATGAGAGGGACAAACACTTTATGATCTTCACCCACCATATTGAAGAGCCAGAGGAAGAAAAGCATTCCACCCACCAACAGGAGGACCACTTTGCATACCAACGTCAGGACCACTCTGCACACAGAAAGGATCACTCCTTCTACCCAGGGTAAGGGGGAAGGGATCATTCTGCCCACCAACAGGAGGCCTAGAAGAAGAAACATCTACAAACAAGCGTAACAGTGTAAAAAATATTCCTATAATTGATTTCACCACCTTGCAAGAATAACTGGATTTTATTAAGACTTATAGAGGTTCTCTCTACCTTCTAATGCTTCTAGAGAAGTCTTTAGACAGTATCTCTAGGTTGTCTTGCTGTTAGAAAGCTCTTCACTTTGTCCCATGTTTAAGCTGCCATTTTGTTTGCCGTGGCCACACCCACTACGTAAAGGAGCGTGGGCGGGTGGTTGCTAAGGCTTATGAATTTTGTTATTTCTCCAATACAACATGTATAGAAGAAATGTAAGTGTGGACATATTATAATATTATACACGGAACTTCCGTGTATAACATTTAATGACGTTAATGTATTTAATTATTGGGATTGTACATCCCAATAACATTTTATTAAATTGTTCCGTGTATAATATCTATGTATATATATATACAAACATCGCACGTGGGTGAAATCAATTATAGGAACGACCTGGGGGCTACGCCCCCAGGTCGTTAAAAAGAGAGAACAGTACATATTATTAGTGTTTAATAATAAATCATATTGCACAAGGCATCTACAATATAGAGCTATTGCACGAAAGTAATGAATGGGAGGGTGTGGCTAAAATTTAGCTAAATTGTCTGCCATGTTGGGTGGCAAGAAGGCCAAGAATGTACCTTAAGAAGACAATTAGCATGTACTTATATACTAGCAATTTTCATGATACTGACATTTTGATGGTATTTGATTTAGCATTTTTGATCGTGTGATATTAATAACTATTAATAATTTAATCAGAAATTAAAGTTAGCGCAGACTTAAGTTAGCGATTTTTAAAAATCGTTAAAATTTGCTAAATTAAATACCACAGTGTAAATCTGAATAAATTCTGCAGTTGACATTCCAGGCTAATGCAAGATGCGAGATGAAGATATTGAGTGAAGAACTCTATAATATTCTGCAGTGAAGTATGCCTATCTCTTTGATGAAAAATTCCAGTTTCTTTCAATTCCTCCATAACATAGGCGTATTTGGACCCGGGCAAGCACGGGCTTTGCCCGGGTAGAAATTTGCAGCCATAATTATATTCATTGGTTATTGTATTATACACAGTATTGTAACAGTGGGAGGACTGTTAACCACAATAGTTAGCACTGTTAACCACAATAATTTAGCACACACCTACATGTTCCAAGTGTTTATTTAAGCACCAGGGCAGTAGGGCTAGGCAAATTATGCTAGCATAATCTGGAGCATAGTAGGGCAAGTTATTATGCTGGCATAATTGGAGCATAATGGGTCAAAAGTTTCTGGCATTATACCCCTGACCAAACAATTTCAATTCATTATAGGAGGTGGTACAAGTCAGTACTAGTAGTACAACAACCCAACTGCTTAATACCCACCTACTCAAGCATGATGAATCCAGTGACATAGGTTGTTCTATTTTGCAGCAATTCAAAGTCACTGGAAACATTTTGCATTATTGCAATATTATAATTATAACAGATGCATGTACATGTAACTTGATTAGTTGATATTTGAGTAAAGCTTTAACTATGAGCATAGTAATGAGCATAATTGGATTCATTTCAAAGCATAATAGGATGGAATTTGGAGCAGTGCCTAAAAGCATATTAGGCAAAAATTGAAGCATAATTTGCCTAGCTCTACAGGGCAGTTATAGGTCTTAAATTTTAAATGCATTTGCCCAAATTGCCCACAATCAATAGTTAAAGGTATAAATAATTAATTAAATATATGA